GAGGTGCCAGCCTGGCCACGGGCGGGCAGGAGCGGCAGCAACGGGCTGGCTGCGCCTTGCAGGCACAGGCAGGTCCTCCCGTCCCAAAGCCCCATGGACAGTCGTCCCCAGCGGTGTCCCCAAGGTGCTGCCCTCTGCCCATATCCGTTGCAAGCCACATTTCAGCCTCTTTACTCAGCAGGTGACAGCATCATAGCATCCACGCGGTGGCCTTTCCCAGGCTGGGGGACAGCAGGGACCACCCCGGGGCTCAGGGCTGCTCGGGTGAGCGTGGGCAGGGAGCGGTGCTGGTGCAGCTCATCTGGATCCCATCCAGCCCAGGCACACGGTGGGGCTGAGCCGATCTTGCTCCCTGCTTGCCTCCCTCCTTCCCTCGCCGAGCCGGCAGGCGCAGGGACACCGAGCAGGGAGGCGACATCCCCCGGCTGGAGCAGGGAGGGGAACCCAGGAGTCCCGACTGGCTCACTGCTTTACCTAGAGAGCCTCGTGTTGCTCCTAAACCTGATTAAATTAATCAAAGCTAGTCACTAATGAATGCATAATAACATGTAACGAAAGAGCAGCGAGCTTTCCCAGCGAGGAAGCAGGGGAGACTCCTGGGCTGGGAGCTGCAGGGTCGGAGCGGGATCGCACCTTGCCGGAACGGATCCACGCACGGGATGGAAAGCCGCAGTATACGCTCAGCCTCCTGCAAACCTGTAACCCAAGAGCCCCTCTGGGCCGGATGCCAGCGGCGATGCCCAGAAAGGACCACCCGTGTGTCCCCGAGCCCGGGCGGCCCTAAGGCAGCAGATGGAGCCTTCTCTGCCACGGAGCGGGATAAACTCACCGGCGTTTCCCTTGGGGATGCCCCGGTGCCTTGCTTTCCTGGAGACGGGGCGAGCCAAGGTCCCCAAGTCCTTGATGGTTGCACGTCCCAGCAGGGTGGCAGCAATGGGCCGCCAGGAGCTGCTGAGCCTCAGGCCTGGCGGGAGGAAAAGTGACCCTGGCTCAGGCAGGTACATGAGAAGGAGAAATGAATGATTAACCCAGGACGTGAGTCATGGGGTGACTGCCCTGCATGCAGCGGGACCAGCCACTGCCGAGGCCTCGCGGGGCACTTTGATGCGGAGGCGAGCGATAAGCCAGCCGGTAGGTTGCTGGAAAATCCCACGGGCCCTTTTGATGTGGGAAAACTGAGGCACGGGAGGGTGTGCAAGGAGCGCAAGCTCAAGGCGCTGCGAGTGGCGGCGGTGCAAGCTGCAAAGACACTGCCCACCACGTGTGCCTGTGCATGCACACGCATGCATGCTCTGCAGCACTCCATTCACGGGCGTCTTCACCCACGTGCGCGTTTGTGTTGTCTCAAGCTGGGCTGTGTTGTTATGTGTTTAGGTGTGCGCGCAGAGGTGTGTTGAGCCCCAGCCTGTGCATGCCTGGGTGCCCTCCGGCACACGTGTGCAAGTGTCATGTGCCCCTGTATGCGTGCAGGACACGTGTGCACCCCGTGTTAGCATGAAGGACGCTGTCAGCTCCTGTTTGCATGCCAGGCCTGCCGTGTTCTGGGCACTGCGCTTCTCGGCACACAACATGCTTTTGACTTTATGTCTTTTATCTTGCATTAAACAACCCCGTGGCTCGGCATGCTCTGCCAGCGAGAACTGTCTGAGCACGGCAGCCCTGCTGCTCCAGCCTAGGATGAAGCTAGTGCTCACACATTAAGCCTTGCAGGGTGATGTGAGCACGTGAGCGTGCACATACACCCATGCACGCTCTCACATGCACACACACACATAAACATACATGTGTATGCATATAAGCATGTGACTGTGCACATACATGCACGCATATGCATATAAATGCTACACATGCATGTGCACACATGCACACACTCATAAACCCACATGCCGCGCTCACGCACACACATAACATGCAAGCAGACATGCCTGTCCACGTACACATGTGAATGTACTCATGCACTCTCATGCTGCTCACATGCATGCACACGCACACACACACACACACACACACACACACACACACAAATCTCTCCCTCACTCTCTTTCTCTGTGCAGCCTCAAGACAGTGAGACAGGAGCCCTGCAGGGCTGGATCAAAGCCTGCCTCCGCTGGCAGTCCCGGCAGCTCCCGCTGGCTCACACGCTGGAGAAACATGCAATAAAAACCGGTCAAGAGCAAGCTGGACTCTGCCCGTGTCCTTCCTGGTGCTAAACGTGCCCAGGGATGCTGGAAACGGGTTGCCTAGGACGTGAGCAGGGGTGACGTTGGCTCTGCCCCACACGCTCACCTGACGCGGGTGCCTTGCAGCACCGGCTGCAGCACCCAGAGATGCTGCCAAGCCGTGCAGGGCACGGACATGGGCTGCAGAAGGGTTGTGACCTCTCCTCCTGCCTTTGGGCCAGCTCCTGTCTCCAATGCTATGTCCAGTAGCTGCCAGGGTGTCACAACAGCAGGTCCCTGGGCGCTCCTGGGTCCCCAGGACAGTAGCTGGTTCACTGCCACCAAGGCATCTCCCTGTGCCCAGGGGCCACAGCCCCGTTGGGAGCAGGACCCTCTTTGTGCGGGATGCGGTGTTGATGAAATGCCCACTTTGTTCCACGTCATCCTGCAGCCCGTGTCCCCAGGCTGCATTTTCTCTGGGGAGGAAGATTCAAGGTGCAATCCCCTGCCCCTGCAGAGCAGCTCAGCTTCCTCTTGGCCCTGTAGGCAGCAAATTCAACCAAGCACTGGGCAAATAACATTGCATAAACCCCAGGCCCGGAGCAAAGGCTGCCACCTCCACCCAGCGAGTGGTGATTTCCGGGCTCTCTAAGCAGAGACCCTTTCTGGCACGTTTAGCCTGGTCTCTATTTAACCAGGCTTTGGGAGTCATGCAGAAGGTCCTGGGGCCCTTGGCTCACAGTTTAACACTGCTAATGGGGATATAGGAGGGTAGGGCAGAAATAGGCCTTAATCCCACTGTGAGATGGGCTGCAGCGGAAGATGTTAAGCAGGGGATGGGGGCCCCGGACTGGCCACCGGGGACCTGGTGGCCGACACCACCTCCTTCCGCAAGGCGTTTCTCCCATGCTGCATGAAACATGGCTCTCTGCCCTGCCGCTGACGTGTTGCATGACCTCAATCAAGTCCCTTGAAAAATGAATCATCATCGGCCATGGAAATCACCACAGCTGCTGTTGCAAAGGTTTGGGGCAGTATCCCATGTCTCCTGAACCCCTTCGCTGCCATCCCCGGCTCAGACCTGGTTTGCAAGCCCTTTTGCCCCTGGAGAGGAACCAGCCTCGTTTGCCCTAGCGCGATGCAGCTGTCTCAGATTAGGTCACACTGGTTTTTATCAGTACACAACGGCCACCAGCCCGCCCAACACCATAAATAGCTATCAGCCATCCGTGCCACCACAGGCAGCAGCCGTTAAATCTAGTAATGATCTTGTAGCAACACACCCTATGGCAACCTTTGTAACTCAGGGCCTGGCTTCCTCCAGCTTGGCTTAGGGAAGGTGTATTTACAAACAAACGACGCATTGCTGGTGTATGCTTGGGGCTGGAGGCTCTCTGCTGAGCGATTCCCGCAGGCCTCATGGGAAACGTATTTGGGAGGGATGTTCACCCAAGCCCAGTGCCAATGCAGACTCTCCTTGGAGGATCCCTCCAGGCTTCAACTCCTGCTCTCCAGCACCCAGCCACCATGGGTGATTAAGGGCTGTGCACAGCATTGGTCGGTATTTTTGAGCAGGCGTAAGGCTGCTGCCACTCCAGGGTGCCCCCAGACTGCCCGGGGCACAGCCAGCTCCCATGCAGGGAGAGGGCTTGCAGGGCTGCTGGGATGTCAGGAGACACCTGCAGGTTCCCACTGCAGGTTCCCACTGACGGATCTCAGCCTCTCCTTTTTGCAGAAGGACTCATGGCTCCTGCATGGCTCCAGGCAGCTCCTCAGGGAGAAGCCAGAGCCACCGGCATGGGACAGCAGCCACTACTATCACCCAGCAGCCGTCTCGACACTGAGATGCTATTCCCACATGGCTCTGACCAGTGACCTCTAGCCAATGCAAGCATCCCACGAGGCCACGTCCAGGGCTCCAGCTGTCCCCCTGTTATGCCTGAGCCTCACACATCTTCAGTACAACACAATCCTCTGCCTTTCGGATGAGTGCAAGGGCTCCCTAGAACCCTGCCTCGGTGTCAAACCTGGCTGCTGTCCCTGTTGCTGTCCCTGCTGCTGATTTGGCTCATTGCATGAGGGCAGCTAGGGTGCAAAAGTCCAGCAGGCACAGGGGGCAAATATGCCCCAGGGAATGCTGCAAGACGGAGATCTGGAGGTGATAGCGGCAGCCCCATGCCGGTCCCGTGTGTGGACAGCTCCGTTGTGCTGCTGAGCCCTGAGGCTCTTTCACCACAGAGATGAGAATCACGGGCATATGCTGAGGCTGCTTTGCTCAGGGCTGGGAGAGGGCCAGTGTGGTGTGAGTGCAGGGAAAGCTCCGAGTTTCACGCCAAGACGCTTTGAGTCAGCGCTTCCAGACTCTCCGAGGGAATCCAATGCCCAGAGCTGGCTGCGATCTGTCCCATTTTCCTGCT